TTCAGAGAAAGGAGTGCAGAGCTGGATGCCGGTGGCATGCGGCTTGGCGAGTCCATGAACGGAAGCATCATCCATCGCTGCTAGACTGGTTCCTGCTCTCAGTGCATCGACATGGCGAGCGACGCCGCTGGAAGTGCAGTGGATACATTAGTTCGATGTTAAATCTCGATTTGTTATACTCGTATTCATGAACTACCCCATGCGTGTGTGTGGAGGTTATAGGTCGATGATTTTCTTTTCTTTTCTTTTCTTTATCTTTTTCATATACAGAAGTATTAGTTCCTTGAATGTTTACAGAATAGTTGGTTGATAGTCTTAAAGAGTGGCTATGAAAAATTTGCGAAAAATTATGGAAAAAATGTTGTAGAAATTCATTTATGGATCTCGCATAACACTGTCCAAAACACTTTTATGAACACACTCTTTTACCATCAGAAGTTTGTTTGGTAGTTAATTGAACTTAAATTCAAATGGATAATTTAAATGAACTCTACAACCTAGACTATTGAATAGTGCTATTAAATGGTGTTTCAATTTGTCTTATTTGATTCTACTCCTAGTACACTAATAGAGGGAGGGGGGGGGGTTCTTTCTTTCTTTCTTTCTTTCTTAAAGACATAAATATTCCTAAAGATGCAAATAACACAATAAACATTTGGCATTGATATTGCATGGTTTAGGAAATATTTACTTTTTTCAATAATTCTAAAAGCAATAAAATTGAAATGGAATTTAAGACCGTGAAATTTTTTAAATTATTCAAAGTTTCTTTTCATGGTTTCTGATGAAAGAAACATTTTTGCCGTCATAAATGAATGAATCCAACAATAAAACAGCTATTTAATTTAATTTTAAATGTTTTAACTTGGATCATGTGTAGTTAGATTCTTTACAAACCAGGTTTGTTATTGTAGATCAGTTACTTGCTGTATTGGATTTAATCTTTGTCAAAATTTATTACTAGAGAAAACTTATTTGTTTTTATTTAAGACTATTGTAGTAACTTTGAAATCTTATTGGACATCAAATATTTTAGTATAACTTTACAACGTACAATATATATATATATATATATATATATAGATGTATGTATGTATGCATGCATGCATCTCTCTCTCTCTCTCTCTATATATATATATATATATATATATAAATAAATAGAGCAACCTACATTTGTATGTAGCATCAAAAAATCCCATTGGTTGGAGTAGAAAGAGGCATTGATTGGCAGCCAAGGCATATTGTGTATGTGTGTGTGTCTTTTTTCTTTTTTTCTTTTCTTGCAATAAGAGCAGTGATTGGCTGCCAAGGTATATTGAGTTTTTATTTTTATTTTTTTGATTGACTGCCAAAAATGTACTCGGTGGCAAAGCCAATAGATTTAACCTCTGGTACTTATAAACAACAATGGTATTTGTTTAATATTCAGATTTAGGTTAACTAATTATATTTACACTTCATCAAATTATATAAAATGGTCACTCTACACATTTTCTAGGCATTTTATATTTTTTAACAAGTTGGATTTTTTATATTATTTTATTTTTATTTTATTTTTGTCTCAAGTCACCACTATCATTGGTGGTTTATAACATCTTACTTAAATTTTAGAAATAGTGAGTTATAATTACAGCTTATGCTTTTATTGCCTTAACCATGTTTCTTCATATTTATTTCTTCAATGTATTTTAAACTAACATTTTAAAAAACAAATTGCATTTTTAATATTGTGAAATTTTTCTTTGAATATATATATATATATATATATATACATATTTATATATAATATCAAAAATATCAAATTACTTCTATTTATCCAAGTTAATACATTAATCAATAATATGTATTTGTTTAAAAGCCTGAATTTGAGGTTATTTTATTTGCTTAATTAGATACAATATAACTTTAAAAATCTATTCATTTTTTTTAAAGCTAAATGTTTTGAAACACAAGCTAACAATTGCATATAATGAAGTACAAAGAATATAAGCAGCAAACATGTAAGTTGCTCTAAAACAAAGTATTTTTGTGGATACTCTAAGATTCAAAGAGACTTTTTAACTACAATACAATCAACACCCTCAACATAATTTGATGACAGTTTAAAAAAATCATGACTCTTCTATTATTTTTAGTCCTACACACAAGATTGAATTATAAAAACATAAACCTAATATCCAAACGTTTACTAATTTTTTAAAATTAAATTCTCATAGTTACACAGTAATATAAAAGGCCTTTTATATTAAAGAATCTACATTCAATGTTCAAAACATGGACTTTTACAAATTGAGTTTGCAAATGTATTCACAAATCACAAATCCCTCAAAGAGAACAAACTAATACATACACACAAACCACAAACATTTTTTCTAAATAGAGCGAATAAATACAGAATTTACACGATTATAACAACTCAATTATGCAGATTTTTGCACACAACTCCAAAATTCCTCCACAACGAGAACATTCTCTGACAAACAAACACCGAGAGAGAAAGAGACGAGAGCGAACCAGGAGGGACACGTCAGATTTTGAGAACACGTAGATTCATCCACGTCGGATTCAGAGAGTCCACGTCAGGCTGTAGGTTTTGGCGCCATTACGTGGGGTCTCAACTTGGCACATCGCACCATCGTCTTCGTCTTCGTCGACTTCGTCGTCTTCAGCGGCGGCGGCGGTGTCATCGATGCATGGCTTTGATCAATGAGAAGACTGCTTCACGATCTCGGGCGCATTGAGAAGTGCATCTGATTAACAAAACCGGAGCATCCACAACACTTGCTGCACAATAATGAAAAACTCTGATTCCGTGCTAGATTCGAAGCTTTTGGTGTAGTCATCACCGTAAATTGAGATAACATTTTATAAACTGCCGCACACGATTATAATATGGCTGGCTTTCCTCTTGTTGTTGTTGATGATGTTGTTGTTGTTGATCTTCGACTTCTTGATATATATCATAATGCTGTTACCACGTTGAACAGTTGCAAGATGGGCAATATTTAATAGGTTGAAGGAATAAGGATAGAGATGATATCGACATGAGGAATCCGGGGATGCACTCGTGGTGGTGCGGAGGAAACCTCCAGGGGAGGGCGAAGACGGCGCGTCTTCCACACGTCAAGCGTGGTAGCAAAGCGTCGTCTAGCGTCGAGGACTGGAGCAACAGGTGAACGAACGGAGGTTTTCCTTCAATTGGCGCGAAAGGTGTGGCCCCAGCGTGAGGTCGCCAAAAGGCTGCAGATGGATGACGCAGAAGACCTCGTGGATTGTTGTCTTCGCGAAAATAGCAAGGATGCGAAAACAAATTGGGTTGACTGCAGAAGACTTGGCTGTGAGCGGAGGTCCCTCCCATCAGATACAAAAAGACCCCCCCCCCAACTCCATCCTGCCTTGCCCGCACTTTGACTTTGCTGTGAGAGCACCGTCCTCACGCCGAAACTCACGGTCTCCTCAGGTCTCGTGACTTTTTCCTCGAAACTGCAAGTGGTCGCTCTTCTATAAAATCTCAGCTAAGCCGTTATGATGTTTGTACTCCACTTTGTGATGAGGAGGAATATCACGATAGGCTCTTTAATGCAAGGATCCGCTAAAGAAAGAGCTGTGGTGCCGGTGTGTGATTGCGTGCTGCTCCATGAAGGTAAAAAAGACAAAGAAAATGTTTAGAAGGTGGACGCAGCTGCGACAACTGCGATGTGGGTAAAACATTTTTAAAATTCTATATATATATATATATATATATATATGTGTGTGTGTGTAGATAAATAGATGTCATTTGTTAGTGATTTTTACCTCAGGTTGTACTTGGTCCAGTGCAATCAGTTCTGAATTCATTTGGATTAGGCTCACACGTATTTCAAGGATATGCATTCTATTTTAGAAAATGGTAATGCTACCTTAGCATTGTATGGTTTCGAGGTACTTCTAGAAGCAGCAGTATGCAGTATCACATATACAAGGAATATATATATATATATATATATATATATATCTATGGTGATGGAAGCTAATACCGTGTTGAAAAGTACCTATTAAAGTTTTTACATGTGTGACGTTCGCAAGCGTATGATATTTACAACACTGCATTTGAATACATACATCTAAAAGCATATCTTGAATTCATAAAATCTGTAATATATTTATATTTCATTTACAAATCTGCAGTTCAGCAAAATTGGTTTGAAACACAAAACTTCAATTCACTTGAGAACTGTCTTTCAATGACTTTGAATTATTAAATGTAAAATAAATACAATGTTATTCTTCTATCTTTGTAAATTGTGAAGGTAAGAAACATAAAAATATTACAAGGGCATGAAGTTGAAACTAGATAAAGTCTCGACCTGATGAACCGAGAACTCAGAACTCAAGGTTGTATTAATTTGGGGGACAACCAATGCACTAAATCCAAACATTTTTTTTTGATACACATGCACACACACAAACATACATACATACACATTATTTCACACATGTTGTACTCCATCAAAAGTGTCTGATCTTCCATTGTCATGCTCCCAAAGCTCAAGATTGAGCACGCGTGCTTCAGGTTGGACGAGAATATCAGCAAAAAAAACTAGTGGGTTGAATTCATTCATTGACCCCGTTGATTTAAAATTTAGCCTCCAAAAAAATGAACCGAATTTTTTCTTTATTTGAAATTGCGCGCAAGGTCCTCCGAATATTAATATTAACAGCTAGGGTTTGCTTGAAAACACGAAAATAGCAAGGATCTAGTCTCCACCGAAGAGTCCACACCCCAGCATCGACTTTAATGAAACAAAAGTAGCCTGCAACCCCATTACTGTCCGCCTGAAACCTGGGCGTCAGAGGTGGCGTCCAGAGAGCTGAGGCTTCGGAATAGGATCTGATCTCACTAGCTTTCGATTCATCAGCGATCGATACGCATAGTCTTACTTACACGTGTGTGACCCACCCCTGGCTTTCTAGCAATTCTTTAAAGGACGTATCGACAACAGTGGAAGCGTCATTTTGGGACCATCGACCTATTAAACAGGGGCTGTGGATCCACGTTGCACCTAGATGAAGACTCTATGTTGATCGCAGCGGTCGCGACAGCTTCGTGGTGGTGGTAGTGGAGTGGTCCTCCTTATATTTGCCTGCTCTGAATTGCCAGGTCTATTTCTCTGGAACTATCACTTCGAAATCTGTTTCATCTTCGAAAGTAGCCTTGAACCATACCTGGTCTTGTCTCTAAGGTGCACAAAGGAACGAATTGACATCCGAGTAGGCGATTGTGGATTTACGTTATTGTTGATGATGATTTTCCAGCGAGATTTGTGAGGTCTGGAATAGTGTTTGAGAAAGGACCTGTTAGTGCCAGAAAATCATACGAGAGAATACAGAAGCACAGACACAGCGAGTTGGAGGAATTGGAGTGGGGACTCGTGAATTCTCTGACCGCGATGGTCGGAATGATGTGGAACTTGGGACGGTTGAGAGCGGGATTTGAGGATACACCGTTGAGGATCTTACCTTGTTAACTTTGCTTCAGCAATTGCTTATGTTTGGACAGAAAAAAATTGAGTCGGGCAGGAGTTGTAGACAGCGAACTGATCATGTGCTCCTTGAACTGGAGCATGGGTGCGCCAAATTCTGAGAGTGATGATAAGGAAGCCGTGGGTAGATTTGACAACATGGTGAGGGCTGCGATATCAGGGGAGACCCAGCGGAAGATAAGCAGTGGGCGAGTTGATATGGTTAGGAAGATAGATTTGTCAGTAAAGCTTGACGAAGACAGTGTAGATGACGACGAGGAAATGGAAAGTAGTGAACCCGAGGAACACGATCACACGATGTCAGATCACTACATGCCTAGCGTAAAAGATGAAGAAGTCAGCAGTCCCCAGCCAAGGTTACAACTTGGCTCTCAACAATACCATCATAGTGGGTGCACGTTTAAATGCGAGGTTGAAGGGTGTGGCAGTGTCTATGGAAGCAGAGATGAATTGCTCAGCCACAGTCTTACGCACCGGGGCACTAGTGCTAGTGACCGCTCAACAGTGGAAGATGATACTCCTCCGACGTCGCCTGCTGGGCTGCCCGCTTCTGAACCCATACAACTCCAGAGCGAGGTAACGGATCTATTCATATTATCTGAGATAATGAAGGTCACCGAGTTCTAAATGGTTTCGGTTCTCCAACAACGCAGCATCCAGCTTCATAAGCAGTTTAGCGAAAAAGCCTCTTCGAACGAGTTTTTTTATATCAAATGATCCATTTTCTGTAACTCACCGTGTTTTTAAAATGCAGTTAAGGGAAGCACGCCTGGAGATCAAACGCCTTGCTGAAGAAAATGAATACTTCCATTCCATGCTAACTCACCTCACTTTGGAGTGTCACAAACTTCGGATGCATATCGCGGCTTCTGCTCAACGCGATACTTTGGGCGATCCAACTCATAGTCTAGTGACACAGGTGTCAACACATCCCTCTTTCGCCTCTACTTATCTGAATTCAGTTCGATTCGTTTCTGCTTACTATGGTGTATACTGAGACCTCGCTAAATATTTAGTCTTTGCAAGCTCAAAATTTGGTCCGCTGACTTTCACTTAGTTCTAGTTGATGGCAGTTAGACCTCCCCGCTTGCACGAAAGTACACTCTAAAAAGTAGTAGTTTTGCGTTTGTTACAGTCGGAGACTGCTGCTGCATCGCCAGCCACTCATGAGAATCTCCAACGGGGCTACACAGAGAAGAATTCAAAACTCCACACAGCAAGCTCCCCCAAGTCTCCGCCTCGTGAACAAAATTTAAAGAAGCTGGGTAGAGCACGCATTCTGTATAATGAATCTCAGAAATCAGAAGATATGAATGTCGGCACTGCTTCTCCTTCCGGTAGCGAAATGTCCTCCCTCAAAAGCTCTCCTTCCAGACCGTCGCATGCTGCCTCACCATCACAGGAAGCGGATCGTATGCAGGAGGGAGCAGAAGATCAGACTAGTTGGCGACTCAACAAAGTTCAGAAGATCACGCACACTGACGTTCCGAGTGGTGTGCCTATCACTCAAGTGGAAGCCGATCCCAACATTAGGAAAGCCCGAGTATCTGTCCGAGCTCGTTCCGATGCTCCAACGGTACGTTCTCATTTTGTTTGTGGGATCCTTACCTGCAACATGTGCAGAGTTCGGCGCCTACTTGCGTGTTGACGCTTGCCAGCGTTTGTTCGGTTCTATGAAGTAACACCATGAATCGTTTTTTCAGATGAACGACGGATGCCAGTGGCGGAAGTACGGTCAGAAGATGGCTAAAGGGAATCCCTGTCCTCGTGCATACTACCGTTGCACTGTTGCGCCTGGGTGCCCAGTTCGGAAACAGGTAGGAACTCAATATTTAACTCGATAAGGATTATTTAGATGTGAACTTTTATTGATGTTCTCTGTGTTCTATTTGAAGTGTAAATGGTCATGTGATTTATGGCCCTCCGACGTGTTTTGCAGGTACAAAGATGTGCCGACGATGTTTCGATTTTGATCACAACCTACGAAGGCACCCACAACCACCCACTGGCACCGGCTGCTGCAGCGATGGCATCCACAACCTCCGCAGCAGCGTGCATGCTTGTCTCAGGTTCCACTTCCAGTGACATGAACCGCATGACGACTGCACCACCTTTCCTTCAGCTAGCAGGTTCCCAAGGGCAGAATTCCACTGCTGTGCCCATGATCTCCGCCTCTGCCCCATATCAAACTATCACGTTAGATCTGACGAATGATTCCACTGCGCATCTGAGTCCTAGGCTAAACAAAGGCTCCGGCGTCCCACTTGCGAATTACAATCAGAACTTTCAGGGTGCAGCTACCACGAGTGGGGTAACAGTCGGACAAAGTGGTGGCCAGCAAGTGATGATGCCACCGCAACAGCCTGTCATAAGAGCTAGCCCCATGTTCCTCAACAACGTAATGTCGTATGCACCTGTCGTCACAAACTGTGCACCCTTGTCGAGTTCGGGGAGCGCTTTTTCCCCAGCTGGCACGTCAGGGGATCATCAGGCCATGCAACACCAACATCATCCTCGCACCAGTAGAATATACGGGGATCACCAACCGCAAGCATCTACACCCACGCACGCCAACTCGCTACTCTCAGCCGGTGTACCACAGTTTTTGGCAGAGTCGGTGACGGCAGCGACAGCTGCAATTACATCCGATCCCAATTTCACTTACGCTCTGGCAGCTGCAATTACGTCCATCATATCATCGCAAAGTAGTCACGATGTACACAGTAAGTTGACTCAGATTGCAGCGAACCAGTCGAGGGAGGGAAACCAGCAGAGAATGTCATTTCCATCGTCCGCTTTCACCGCAGTTGCTGCTAGCAGATCGAAGAAGCCCGACGGTGGACGGATATCACCCTCGAGAGCTGTTCCTGAAGAGGCTACCCTCTCCAGTATGTTGTCCTCTGCATTGATGTCCGTGAGCAACAAGGACCAGCCGGCTGCAACAAAGTGCGTGAAGCCATCAGCTTCGCACGGGTCTATGGCCATATCAGAGCGACAATGACCATGATAGTCGCCGCGGCTAATCATTCTAATTTTAACTCTAAACGTTTCGGGAAGCGATTTGTTCAACTGAGGGTTTCATTAGTTTCACGGCTCTTCGACAGCCCAGTCGGGTGGCAGAGATTTCGAGGCCTGCAGTTGGACTAGGGTAAAGCTTGTGTATATTGTTAAAGAGCTGAATTTAACTTTCCAGTGTTCTTTCTCAGACAAGGCTCTGGGTCCAGCGTGCTATGCACGAATTTAAGGTTTCATTTGTATCGCCACAATTGCATTGAACATCGTTCCGTTTTTAGAATTGCAAAGTTGTTACATAGGTTTCTTGAGTATATACAACACAGACAATCCTCTGCAGTTTTATTTGTTAATTACGGGTGGCTAATCCATGATTCGAGAGTTACATTTGCTATACAGTTTCAAATGTGACTTCAAATTATGAGAAGATCTGCAGTTCGGAAAAACAAGGAAACAAGGTGAAGCATGGGCATCTTACATGCTTTGGCACATATCACTATGCTGGGCTTTGTTCTTGGGACTTCAGATGGTGTTGCCCGAAGTGGATTTTATTCTAGTCTCATCTCCAGCTCTTGAATCAAAGAGTGTATACATTTATGCCCCGCAAAGAGGGGGGGGGGGGGGGGGGTCGGCATAGCTGGCTTCAGAATCTGACGCCGGAAGTTTCAAAAAGCTCAAAAGGAGCGCAAACCTTTGGGACTTCGAATTTAGCAGCTGCTTTTGCAGACTTGCGAGGTTTTAGCAAAGTCTGGAGGATTGAGCAAACCTGGTGACGACCCTTTCTCTTGGGAATATCAACTTACCAATGAAAAAAGTTAATGTAAAATCAGAAGGGGCAAACGTCTACGGCTCAAAAGTAGGAAGGAGTTCTGTATACACATTTCGACGAAGTAACAGACCGGAATGGCAAGGTGCTAGTTGATAATAGAATTTTTTTATATATAAAAATAAAAAAGCACAACAACTTGGGTTTATTTTTCAACTCGATGCTGCTAAAAGAATGGTCTGTTTGTTTACACATGTTTATTGCCAACCCACAAGTGGTCTGTTGTCTTTGCGTTTCTGTACAGTACCGCCGCTGATGCAATTAGTTTGTCAATTTACTGGGACCCAGATTAAAATGATATTACTATAAATAGATATAAACAAGCATGTTTCACGGACAGACCAATAGAGGTGTAGATATATGGATCAAAGATGGATGGATACGTGGGAATGTGGCGACATCTTGCAGAATCGTGGATTTTAAGCCTGTTTTATAAAACTGAAAGACTTGGACTATTACTTAAAAAATTCCGTTCAATATCAAAATCAATTTAATATACAATAAAAAAATTGCGCTTAGATTCTTTTTGTGACTCTCTGAAGTGTTCATTGAGTTTTTTTCTTTTATTTTATTTTATCATTGGTGCAATTCAGTGCTTGCTGTAAATGATGAAAGTTGTATGTAAAAGATAATGAAACTGTGAAAATAGAAAAAACTGCAATCATATGTGCATACATAAAAATATATATATATATATATATATATATATATACATATGTATATATATATTTATATATAGATTCAATATTTAGTTGTTCATATTATTTACTGAGATATAAAAAAAATTTCAACTGTTTATAGAGTATTTGTTTATTAGGGGTCCTTTTTCAAAATTTCAAAAAGATACTGGAAATTGCTTTTTAAGAATAAAAAATTCCTATCTAATATTTAACAGATAAATAATGAATAAATGGAATAAAATCACTGAAGACCAAAAAAATAAAAAAATCTTTTGAATTGATTAATTAAAGAAAATTCTTTAAATTTTATGCAATCTCTCTCTCTCTCTCTCTCTCTCTATATATATATATATATATATATATATATATGTATAATCATCCATTGATTTCAAATTTCAAAATCATTATTTATTATTGGAACAACTTTCAAAGACATCACTAAAAAATTAAAATGTAAAACGAGAATCACATTTCACATTTGTTTTTATTGGGAGCTTCAGGCAAAATTATATTTGATGCATTTCTATTTTGTTTTGTTCCTTGGGACATTGAAGGTTCAAATATTAAAGTGGTTATTCGAATTCTATATAAAAAATATTATAAATTTATTTCACACTAATGCTAATCAATAATGAATATTTTAAATTTCATATCTTAGAAAATTACATTCACTTCGACATTTATTATTTGTATTTATACATTAATTGGTACATTAATAGCTTTATGCTAATAGATTTAACATTTTTTTTCATGAGATAAGTTGTAATATTGGACGTATGTAAACTCTAATTGTTAAAAACATCATTAATGAAAACTTCATTTATTAATGACAACTTGTAAAATTAAAATCCCTTTTAAATTACTTCACTTTTCCTTCTTAAATATAACTTTCATAAATTATATATTTAGTCTCTGCAGAAATAATTTAGTAAAAATTACACTACAGTGCAATCAAATATGTACACTAGTGTATGTATATTGCGGTGTAGGATTTTTTCAACATCTACAGAAACATGTTTTACTGACAAGTTTAATGAAGAAGTCTTATTAGAACATTCAATTGGTTTAAAATAAGATATATTGTGCTAAAACTGATAATGTATAAAATTAAAAATTAAAAAAAACAGTACAACTGTCCATTGACATCCAAAAACATGCACAAACAATACTCAATACATGTTGAAAATTGTTTCCAACATGAGATTGTTTCATTTTCTTCACCTCCTTGGACAATTCATACACAAACATATACAATCACAGACCATCAAAGCATTCTTGCAAAAAACATATTATAAACAAACCAACACATGCCTGTTTCTGTTGTTGCCTCTTTTCCAGAGGCATTCCCTGCGTAACATGGGCAGGGATGTCCTGTCCTGCCCTCCCCTGGTTGTGCAAGTGATACTGCAACTCGTACTAAAAATACAAGGATTAATAATACTATAATACTGATTGTAGTAGCTACCAGTACTAGTGGTAGACGAATACGACCACCACAGTAGTACTACGGTGCTGTAATAGTAGTACTTGAAGCTAGTTGCGCAATCAGTGGCGTCGGAGATGGACGTCATCTTCGCCGCTTTGGCCTCTCCATCACAGCACAATTTGCATCTTCAGCCGTCGTGGCCACCACCTGCAGCTCTCTGCCACTAAGGGCAATAACAATATTTCATGACTTTCCTCTTCAAGGTACTGGGATTGACCTTCCTCAAACACAGTGGACAGTGTTGTTGACTGGAGAGCACCCTCCGATTGGGAGTCTGTTTTCAATGGTCTGTGAACAGATTCTCCGGGCAGAGGCTTTGTCAGGTTTGTTGATTCATCGTCACCGGGGTTCTACCAGGGGGATGGAGCAAAAGTCAAGCTTCGAAAAGCTTTGAGTGAGGATGGGGGAGAGGGAGCTAGGAGTGCGTTTTCTCTTGCTTGGATGAGGATGGAACTGACAGATGAGTGAAATGAAGCTCTTGGTTCTGGCGCGTTGCGAGCAATGTCTTGAGTCCTTGATTAACATCTGACCAGAACGGGTGAGCAGGTTCAGTGGTTCTGCACAACAGCTGTGAAATCCAGATTCCAACTTGTCCAGCATTCTAGCACTTTTCCCAAGCTCATCATGGCAGCAGTCCCACCCACTTTATTTCCGCATCCAGAGCCTGTCGGCGAATTAGAAATCGCTTTAACCTCTGGCTAACATGCACAAAAGCCCGAAATTGAGTGTCCTAAGTAGACCCTCATCTCTACCAAGATCGCAACGATGGACTTAATCTCTCGGGAGGGCGACGCGTCACGCAGAGACCAACCGACATGCTCTCACACGCGGATTTCATTCACGTCCATGACGTTCACACTCCAGCGAGCAAGACCGTTTTGTGTATCCTCGCAGACACTGCGTCAAGTCCGACGAGTGGAGTTGATTGCTCCTACCGGATCACTCAGGATAACGTTGAGCAGGGAATTTTCAAGGCAACAATCAACGGTTCCAGATCTCAACGACATATCCGGTTTCGCGACTGCAAAAACCGATCACATGAACACCACCTCTTACAAACACTCAATCTACCCCATTGGAAGGGCATGTACCAATTCCAAAGAATCGAACACTGTGAATCGTTCGATGGGGGTGAAAAGCGTTCACGTTCTCGGGCTGTGCTCAGTGGGGAAGGTAAACCACCGGCACCCAAAGCCAGAGTACTAAACAAAGCATAAAGAGAGCGATATTGGAGTTGACATGGTACAGTTGGGCAACTTCTCAGCCGTTGCAGGTCACGTTCAACCTGCGGCCATAACACGTCACCGACGAAATCACACTGTGTGTTTTTGTTGTTGTTTATCGATCACGGCATTTTCCTCCAATCTATCTATGTATCTATGTATCTATCTTTCGCACTTCTAGACAGACAGAGAGCTTGTTCCATCGTCGAAAAGGGGAGTGTGAGACCGTCATGCGGCAGCACGAGAACCACGGCATCTTCACCTGGTGCTTTTTAAGCCGATCACTGATCGAATCCTGCGTCGATCGAGACAAAGCTACCGCCGCCGTAGGGGCAGCGAGAGAGGGTGAGATCTCTCTCGGTGGGATTCAATCGTGAGCATAATTCAGTGGATCTCGGCGTCAGCGCCGATGCGGGAAAGGGCAGCACACAGCGACGCACTCACGCAGGATGTTCGATGAACCAGGGAATGGATGGGTGGGTGGATGGATGGATGGATGGATGGATGGATGGATTAAGTACAAAATGGATGTATTAAATGTGGGATGAACTGATGGGTGGGTGGTGAGCGATAGGCCAGTTGGATGGATGTGTATGTGAGTGGATGTGCATATGAATGAATGTATGGATGGATGAATGGATGGGTGAAGTGGTGAGCAATGAGTAGGTGGATGATGTATTTTGGGATGAATGTGCATGTGAATGAGCGGATTAATAAAAGGACATGGGTCTCTACATGGGTGTATTTGCGTGTATATGTATGTGCATAAATATTAATATTAATATATAAACATTTTTAAATTCATTTATATATCAATAGACTCGTATGTATTTATATACTAGTAGAAAATTGTGTTGTCAGACATTGCAACATCTGGCACATCCATCCACGTTTTCATTCATATATGCTCCCTTATTCCTTGATTCCCATATTCCCTTGTTTCCTTGTTCCCATGTTCTCATGTTTTCCATGTTTTCCATATTCCTTAATTTCCATGTTCCCTTGTTCCCATGTTTTATATTCTCTTGTTCCCATTTTTCTACGTTTCTATGTTCTCTTGATCTCATGTTTACATGATCCCATGTTTCCTTGTTTCTATGTTCTTTTGTTTTCATATTCTCCACATTCCTTGAGTTCACTTCTTCGCAGTCAATCAAAAGATTTCTTTGTCAGTTGTGTGTTATACCCAAGTTGTCTTATATAATAATAGATGTACAAATAATTTTTTATATTTGGTACTAAGAATTTAATAGTAAAATGAGGTAATATTTACTTGTA